TTTCATGCTTGCCAGACTGAATATTTTTCCATCAGCTATTCTCTCCGGTAGATATCACAATATCCCCTTTGAGAACAGATTATATAATTATTATTCATTGGAACCTGATCAGTTATTCATATTCTATTTCACTGCCCTATGTTTCATAAGATTCATCAGCAACATCTTAATCCTGTTATTTCTAACCTTCCTGGTTCTCCAGAAATAATTACCCAGTATTTACTTGCTGATAAACCCTCTTAATTGATGGAATTAGTGGCTGAGTACTTGGCTATACTATTGCACAAGGGTTATTCTTTTCTAGGTAAAGCCAATGAATAATTGCCTGATTTTGCTTTTCTGTTCTCTTGATACTACTCTAATTACCCTTTTAGATTGTATTGTTTAATCTGATTTTATTTGCCTTAGATCTTGTTTGTATCTAATTCTAATTTACTTTGATATGTCATTAAAGGTTTTGAATTTGAACTCGTAAAGCCCATTAATCCATGTGTGAAATCTGGGGACTCTTTACACATTATAAATTATACAACTTGGGTCTAGGGGGTCCCACCCTGTGTTCTTTGTAACAGACATCAGTTCTCATCAATTCTCACGTGAGCAGTGCTCAATTCAATTGCAACTGTGACAAACATAGAGAGGGGGCTTCAGTCTTCACCCCATACCATTTTTCTGACCGCAAAAAGTCCTGGGGGTGCTCTTTGGTTTCCCCAGTGGGCCAAATAGGACTCACTCAGGACTGTTTGAGGTCAGGAAATTGGCTGCAGGGGGAGAGCCTGAAGTCCCTTCTCCACATACATTACTGTCATGATCCAAATCGGGCATCATTCACATGGGGATTGAGGAGAACTCGCAACACATGCCTGACTGTGATACAGTCTACAAGGTAAGGACCCCGGTGGAAAAGATAAGCACAAAAGGAAAGGATGCACTGTAACAAGGACTGTAAAGTCACTGAATAAGAGTAATACTATATAGTGGCCCCGTTCACATGGGGTATTTGCCGTGGGAGAGCCACGAGTGGATGGCGGATTTTCCGGCCGCGATCGCACCACAACATCTGGGAAGTGGAGCACACCCGTGGCAAACCCGTGGCATGCTGCTGAAAATGCGCTATTAAAAAATACCTCAACGAAGGTGGTAGCAAACGGTTTGCCATGGGCTGCCTCCAGACTCCCTTGGTGTGATCGCGCTGACGCAGCTTTTCCCTCCAGCCATCTGCATTGCAGCACACACGGTGAGGGCTGGAATGGTGGGTAGCCGCCAACGCATCTGATCGCACTGTCATGCGGCTACTTGCAGCACCGCAAATAGCCATGCCTCCCATCCCCCCACATTTTCCGGCCTGTGTGACCAGGGCCAGTGAGAGTTTTCCCTCGAATTATAGAGCATCCCCCCCCCCCACAATATGCCCAGTGCAATGATGTCACCTCCGGGCTGGTGGGTAAGGGGCCCATCGGGAAGGCAAACCCCTGCCCCCTTGGGGGACCTGGCAACCCTACTCACAGGGTTGTTGTGCAAATCAAAAGGGGGAGAGGAGAATTATGTGAGCTGCTTTGGTCACCACTGTGGAGAAAGACTGTACTTTTCCTAGGTAGAGGCAACAGGGAGGGGGGAAGAGATGGAAACCTGAAGTCAGAGGGCCATATAATGGTATATTGATGGTTGGCTGGGAAGGAGATAGGGTTGCCAGCTCCAGCTTGGGAAATTCCTGGAGATTTGAGGGGTGGAGCCTGGAGAGGGTGGGGTTTGAGGAGGAGTGGGACCTCAAAAAAGTACAATGCCATAAACTCCAC